AAGCGCTACGGCGTCATCCGGATTAAGGACACCACGACCACGCACCTTTTTCGGATGCGTCAACCRTTTCGCGCCATAGTTTGGAAGTTTGCCTCACGGGCGGCTTCTCTCTATGATACGCGAGAGGTTCGGGTCTTGCGAGGTGGGCGTGTCTCCACCTTGATTTTTGACGACGAGGAGTTTATACGACTCGGCCGGGTAGAGGCYGAAGCCCGCGAGGGCCGACAGGTCTATCCCGGCTAAGCRCGTCCTCACGAATCAGGTGCCACGGWGAGTCGTCCTTGTAGTAGGGTCACACTACGTGACTCTAAAGGGGTAATAAAAACAAAAACAAAACCACAATCTAGCGTAGGTAAGYCAACCAGATGGATAGTATCTGGACTACCCCGATGATAGCACTATCATGCTAATGCATTGAGGGGTAATCGATCACTTAAATATAAACTGAACGAAGCGAAAATCGAACACTTGAAGAGGTGTTGCGCGGAATAACGAGGACGAAGTAACAGGAAACGAGAATCTTCCATGTCAGGTGATCTGGTGTCGGGGATGGGTACTTCGTCATTCGTGGAACATAGATAGTCATTATCACTTAGGAGGACAAAGCGACTAACAAAATTACATTCGCCCCTCCAAGTAGTTATACATGGTATGGAGATGCGATCAAACTGAGAGCTCAGACATCGACCAGGAGTCAGATCACTTGTGATCTGCGTAATACCAATAATATTTACTTGTAGAAGCTGTGCGCGACGGATTTTCCGTTCGCGGACGGCGGTATAATCGTCTCTTCGGTCATGTAGGCAGGAAATGATAATCTTGGCAGGTCATCTCATCAAGTCGAAATGTTGTTTATGAGTAGGGGATTATAAAGGGACTAGGATTATATGTTGGGTTTCACGTTTGGTCGAGGCCCTTCTAGTCAACCGACGCTCTTTCGTACCGCGGAGATCAGCGCCCTCGGGAACGGACAGCGTTCGGGTCCACTTGGCGTTAACCAAGCGTACCTATACTCCAGCGAGCGAGCAAACGCCCTCAGTGACCTACCTCTGCAATTGCACGTAAAAGCTTTCGCACGTGGGTCGGTAGCTCGGTAGGGATACGCCGCTGAGGGCGGTGACAGCCCCTCAGGGAAAGTAAGTTGTGCCCAGCGAAAACCTATCCTGTCGTAGGGGACCGCAGGATGTATAGCTGGCGCACCCGGCTAGAGCGGCGAAGGGACAATGCAACGTCGTCCGTCTCGGCGGTTCGCGAGATTATTTATGCATCGTCCTAAGTTGTCTCTTGATTTTGTTTTGTTCCAACTCCTGCGTGACATAGTCGGGAGGGCCCTCGTTCACGCGAGGGCCGATGCGCTCGACAACGTATCTGCATTCCCCCTACCGGACAACTCCGCGTTCAGGTTGTAGCGGAGTTTCATGATCAGACAGTTGTCAGCCATATGGACTTCCACAAGACGTTGGCTCGTGTTTACCACCTATACGTTTGACCGAAGTCCAACGACTTCGTCAAAGCCTACATCCAGGAGTGTCCTACCTACCAGAAGGTGAACAGTGCAAACCACATTCCGTATGGTTTAGTTCAGCCCCTACCATACCTGAGGTCGTTGGAAGTCAATCTCGATGGATTTCATTGGTCCCCTTCTTCCACCCACTGAGCGTGGTTATGATGCTATTTTGGTCGTCGTCGATCACTTCATGAAACGTGCACTCTTTGTCTCGTTCCGCTATCGCATTAGCGCTCGCGAGGTCGCTGACATCGTCTTCGACCGAGTCATGAGAGATCACGACTTACCTTAGAGCATAATCTCCTCAGAGCATCATCACGGAGTTACTGACGATACCCCCCATGCATGGAGTACCTTGTGCTTTGCAAGGGTTATCTGATGAGGAGGCTACTTGAGAGCCCCTCGAACACTGGGAGCAAGACCGGATATTGATGCTTGCATATGATCGTGCTCGTCGTGCTGAGACATCTACTCTTCATCCGACTGACCCTCTTCCTCCTCCTCCTGCTGAGGAGATTGTTGAGAACGAGCCCGCTCCCTCTGAGGCATTTCTTCAGCAACAGACTGACGCCTTTGTGCGTTCACAGTGCACTCATCGACGCCCTTGACGTCTCGACGACTGACACTCTGATCACCTACTATCTTCCTACTGACTCGCACCTTCAGGTACTCCATCATCAACTTCTTCAGGATGTTACAGTTTTGTGGCTCTGCTTCAACATTGACTCAACTCCTAGTTCATTGATGTCATTGCCCACTTCGACAACTTCAGCTACCTTAACGACTTCAGCCATCTTATCGGTTTGAGCTACTTTGGACGTGACTACTTTACGCCACCACCATACCCTGTACATTTTCATGCATGTATCGCCTGATGGTTCTCACTTAGCTGGGTCTTTCTGAGTTGGACTTTATCCGATATCGCATAGGCATTGAGACCGTACTGTTATCTTGGCTTCCCTGCTTCCAGATCTAGCTCCCTCCCCCAGTTGGCGAGGTGTGCATGTTTCCCTCACCCACTATATCCCTCATCACCCTAGTGCCGACCATTGCATGCCTTCAGTTAGGTATATGACCACCCTCTTGCAGACTCTCCTTTCATGGTCGACCTTGCATAGTGTCACCCTTTCGTCGAGCATTACCCGCCTTGATGATCTATCTGTTAGGGTCATTTGTTTTGCTTCGCTACCACTCCCTCACCCTGAGCCTGATGACCTATCCCACCTTCATGTGTAATTGCCCTTAGGAGTTTCGATTCTTAGGCTGCATTCACCCTCTCCGAGACCATCTCACTTTTAGTGGTTCAGCGACATGACATTACTTGTGACATATTGCTCTCTTTTCCTTTTAGCACTGAGGCAATTGCCTCCAAGACTTTAGGATTGTATGTTGCTACATTTCATTTTCTGTTGTTAGCTAGGATGTGAATACAATACATTTTCTTTTCATTTGACATTATGTAGCTTAGGCTGCATCGCATGGAGCTTGCTCCGCATCTTGGAGCAGGTCTGAGGATTGTGCAACGGGCCTCTATCTGCCCTGGCCTGAAGCCAGGGCCTACCGGGCTATTTGCCTGATCCCACAGGCCGTATGCTGTTCCAGTCCAGTCCAGTCTAGTATAGTCAGTCCACTGGGGGTATACCCTAACTGTTGTCTGTTTTTCAGATCATTCTTCATTCTGCACTTTTGGAGTACGTGCGTGTTGAGTCCGCGTCGGAGCTGCGCTGTCCCTTCCAGCTCCATCTCCATCTCCCCCCCCTCAACCCTTCGTCTTGATCCTAACGGACCGCCATCCCGGTGGGTCCGTCACAAATTGCGTGTTGATCGTTTTCAAGACGATCGCTGGGCCGGTAGTTGGGCCGGTAGGTCCTGGCCCTGAGGTGCCGTGTGTGGTACTACGGGGTCAGGGCCCAGGGCCTACCGACCATGTGCAAATTCCATTTCCCCAAGGCCTGTAGTGCCTCGCACGGCGCCAACAAAAATTTGCAGTCCCCAAGCCCCGTACTACCGTGCTTGGCCCGTAGTCCCTAGGGTTTGTAACAAACTATTTTTAGGGAGATGACCGCAAATTTGCACTCCCCAAACCCCGATATTGTCGCGCGTGCACTCCCCAGGCCACGGTAGTGCCGCACAGGGCCACGTAACAAACTAACAAAAGTTTTTGGGGGGAGGCAGCCAAACGGCTAATTTAGCTGACGGCTGCGTATGCACAGCTTCGACGCTACTCCAACTCGACTTCGATTCTCTACGACGCTATTCTACGGTGCTGTGGTTGACTTCAACTCTCTACGACGCTACTCTATGCTATTGTGCTCGACTCCGACTCTCTTCGACTCTCTACGCTAAACTTTGTTACCCTCTCTCCTTTCTCTCTCTCTTTCTATGCTGGCTGCACTCGACTTCTAGGCTACTCTAGGCACGACTCTACCGCGCTCGACTTCAACTCTCTACGACACTACTCTACGGTACTGCACACTAGTGCGCTCGACTTTGCTCGCACTCAACCCCGTATCTGTGCTCAACTCCGCTACTCTCTCTCTCTCTCTCTCTCGCTATTTCACAGTGTGTGACCAGCAGCCGATCTGGGGCCCTTGGCTGCTGATCGTTTTCAATGTCAGCAACTCGCGATCTGCACCGTCGTCGGTCTTGTACCGCACGGCCCAGATTCATGCTGATCGTTTTCGAGGCTTGGCCGGTCGCTTGGCCGGTAGTGCAGCGCGCGGTACTACGGGGCCAGGTGGGCCGATAGGCCCTGGCCCGGTAGTGTGGCGAGTGGTACTACGGTGCCAGGGACTGCCGGCCCTGCACAAATCCGTACTCCTCAGGCCCAGTAGTGCCGCGCGCGGCACCTGCAAAAATTCGCAGCCCCCAGGCCTCGTACTGCGCCGCTGGGCCGGTAGGCCCTAGGGTTGTAACGAACTTTTTTTAGTTAGGGGGACGCAAATTCGCACTCTCCAGGCCCCGGTAGTGCCCCACGTCCACCCCCCAGGCCACGGTAGTGGCGCGAAGGGCCTCGTAACAATAACAAACTAACAAACTTTTTTGGGAGAGGCGGTCAAACGGCTAATTTGGCTGACGGATGCCTACGCACGACTTCGACGCTGCTCTAACTCGAGTTGGACTCTCTACGACGCTAGTCTATGCTACTGCGGTCGACTCCGACTCTCTTCGACTCTCTTCGACTCTCTACGCTCAACTTTGCGACTCTCTCTCTCTCTCTCTCTCTCTCTCTCTCTCTCTCTCTCTCTGTGTGTGTGTGTCTCTCCCCACTGGCTGCACTCGACTTCAACGATATTCTAGGCTCGGCTCTACCTCAGACTTTGCCACCCTCTCGACGCTATTTGGACTTTCCTCTACGTACACACACGCGCGCACACACACACACACACATTGCACCCACGTACACACCCACCCACCCACCCGTCCACAACGCAGAAATGCACATTGTTGTTGCTAAGCTTTTTACACGTTGAAGGTTGGGCTCTGTTGCTAAGTTGAATGACGTGCTGGAGTTTGGGGTCTGCATCCTGAACGTTGAACGTTGAGGATTGGGCTGTGCATTGCGCTGACGCTTTCGGGCGACCGCAACGATGACTGAAGGTGAGTTAGTCTGTCGCTTTTGTTTATTTGCGGGCTTGGAACTATGATTGAAAGTATGCAAGGGGGCGCAGAGGGCGGGGGGGGAAGAGAGAGAGAGAGAGAGAGAGAGAGAGAGAGAGAGAGAGAGAGAGAGAGAGAGAGAGAGAGAGAGAGAGAGAGAGAGTCTAAGCTACTTCGAGGATGTCCGGGGAAAAAGAAAAAAAAAATACACGCAGATATGGACACGTAACGACGATGGCCCCCTCCCCAACCTACACTATCGATCGGAGCAACAACGACGCCAGTTACCAAAAAATAAAGAGGACTATGCCCCCCCTCCCCCACCTACACTATCGATTGCCGATGAATGCCGCGGCTGAAAGGAAAGAAAAACGACGCGCGCGCGCGCGCGCGAGAGAGAGAGAGAGAGAGAGAGAGACTCTAAGCTACTTCGACGATGTCCGGGGCAAAAAAAGAAACAACACGCAGATTCGTAACGACGATGCCCCGCTCCCAAACCTACTCTATCGATCGGAGCAAAAACGACGCCAGTTAAAAAAAAAAAAACCGACGAGAGAGATAGAGATAGATAGATAGATAGA